TCTTTGGAGAGATAGTTCTTTGACATTTTCCGTTGGTTCTTTTTCTGTTGTTGCTTCTGTTTATACATCCTAGAAATAAATCCCTTATCTGGTATGTGGCTTTCAAAAGTTTTCTTCCAATCTGTAGGCTGTCTCTTCACTTTGTCAACAAAAGATTTTTACTTTGATGCATTCCATATCTTTTGGTATGTTTTGATTTCACTGGTCTTTAATTATAGTCTAATTTTCCTTGTGACTCACTGGCTGTTCAGAAGTGTGTTTTTGTCATTGTTGTTAGGTGCCATCGAGTCCGTAGTGACTCAGAGCAACTCTATGCACAACAGAATGAATCAGTGCCCGGTCCTGCACCAACCTCACAATCGTTGCTACATTTGAGCCCATAGCTGCTGCCACAGCACCAATCCATCTCGCTGGGGGTCTTCCTCATTTTCTCCAACCCTCCATTTTACCAAACATTGGTCCCTCTTGATAATACATCCAAAGTATGACACAGTTTGGCTTGTTCTTTTGGCAGTCAATGGTACTTTTAATATTTTCCTCCTACACCACAACTCAAATGCATCAATCATTCTACAGTCTTCCTTATTTACTGTACAACTTCCACATGCACATGAGGTTATTGAAAATACCAGCTTTGGATCAGGCGTACCTTAGTCCTCAAACTGACATCTTTGCTCTTCAACACTTGAAAGAGGTCTTGTGTAGCAGATTTGCCTAATGCAATGTCATTTGATTTCTTGACTGCCGCTTCCATGAGTGGTGATGATTGATCCAAACAAAATAAAATGTTTGACAACTTCAATTTTTTTCTCCATTTATATGGAGGCTGTTTACTGGCCCAGTGGTGAGGATTTTTTTTTTCTTTACATTAAGATGCAATACATACTGAAGGCTGTGTGGTCTTTGATCTTCATCAGTAAGTATTTTAAGTCCTCTTCACTTTCAGCAAGCAAGATTGTATCATCAGCATATTGCAGGTTGTTAATGAGTCTTCCTCTAATCCTGATGCCACATTTTTCTTCATATAACCCAGCTTCTCGGATTATTTGCTCAGCATACATGTTGAATAAGTATGGTGAAAGAATACAACCCTGTCATACATTTTCTTAATTTTAAAGCATTCAGTGTTCCCATGTTTTGTTTGAACAACTGCCTCTTGGTCCACGTACGGATTCCTCATGAGCACAATTAAGTGTTCTGGAATACTCATACTTAGCAATGCTGTCCATAGCTTGTCATGATCCACACAATCGAAGGCCTTTGCAAAGTCAATAAAGCACAGGTAAAACATCTTTCTGATATTCTCTGCTTTCAGCCAATATCCATCTATCCCTCATTCCACATCCTCTTCTGAACTTGGCTTGGACCTCTGGAAATTCTCATCAGTGTACTGTTGCCGCTGTTTTAGTATTATCTTTAGCAAAATTTTACTTGCATGCGATATTAATGATACTATCTGATGACTGCTGCATGTCACCGAGTCATCTTCTCTTTGGAATGGGCACAAATATGGATCTCTTAACAGTCAGTTGTCTTCCAAATTTCTTGGGATAGGTGAGTGAAAGCCTCCATTGCTGCATCATTTTTTGCAAGATTTCTGTTAGTATTCCATCAATTTCTGGTTTCTTGTTCTTTGCCGATACCTTCAGTGTACCTTGGACTTCCTCCTGTAGTATTACTAGCTCTTGATCATATGCTACTTCTTGAAATGGTTGAATATCGACCACTTCTTTTTGGTACAGTGACTTTGTATGTTCCTTCCATCTTCTTTTGATGCCTTCTGCATCATTCAATATTTTGCCCAGAGAATCCTTCAATAATGAAAGCCAAAGCTTGAATTTCACTTCTCTGAGAGCGTGTTCTTCCCTTTTGGTTTTCGAACTCCAAGTCTTTGCAGCACATTTCGTTATAATATTTCACTGTGTCTTCTTGAGCTGATCTTTGAAATTTTGTGTTCAGCTCTTTTTACCTCTTCATTTCTTCCTTTTGCTTTAGTACCTCTATGCTACAGAACAAGTTTCAAAGTCTCTTCTGACATGCATTTTGGTCTTTTCCTTCTTTCTTGTCTTAATGACCTTTTGCTTTCTTCCTGAATGATGTTCTTGTTGTCATCCCACAACTCTTCTGGTCTTCTGTCTTTAAAGTCTTATGCAGCAAAACTGTGTTTATTCCCACATATTTGTGGAATTTTGAGTGTATCGTGTTATTTCTAATTTCATTCCATCACGGTTGATGAAGATATTTTGTATATCTCAATCTTTTAAAATTTACTGAGACTTATTTTGTGACCTAATATATGAGGGGGCTTCAAAAAGTTTATAAAAACACTCCATTATCCTCTAGTTTAATTTTTCCATGAACTCTTTGAAGCACCCCTCGTAGGGTCCATCCTGGCGAATAGCGATATGCAATTAATGTGAATGTATATTCTGCTATTGTTGGGTGTTTTCCATGAGGCAGACTTTAAAAACGTCAAGGAGAAAAACAGAATAAAAAGATAATGGAATATTTCCACAAAAATTTTGAAGCACCCTAGTATATGTGTATTAGATGTAGTTGGTTTGTTGTTGTTAATGACGTTCTGTCTTTTCTGATTTCTAGAAAAGCCCTTAATTCTGCCAATTTCTGCTTGGGGTGGGGGCTTTGTTGGGGGTATGGGAGTGTGTAGCTGCAGTGTCATCACTCTGTAGCTTTCTTTTATCAACTCATCAGTTCATATTCCTATGACGTAATTTCAAACTTCTTGGTTCATTTTATTTTATCACAATCTAAAAGTATAGTTTATTGTTGTTGTTAAGTGTTGTCAAGCCAGTTCTGACTCACAGCGACCCTGAATACAATTTCTAAGGAGTTGCTGGTAGGTTTGAATTGCCAACCTTGTGGTTCACAGTCTAATGCTGATTCTAACAGTAAGGCTTAATCTATTCTCAGCTATTGTGATTAGTATGTTTGAATGTGTTCCTATATCTTATTTTATATTTTCTATTTAACAGACTTTATTTATTTATTTCTAAATATTTGAGTTTCTGTCTTTCTCTCTACTAATTCTTTTTGTATGGCAATGCTTTAAACTGTCTAATGTTAACTGTTGTCTAGCTTTCCCTCCTAAACAAGTGAGTGCGTACTGCACTTCTTCCCCAAAGTGGTTTACTCAGAGGTGAAGGTGTCGGATGGGATGTTCTTGATGTAGCAGCATGACGATTCTCCGTGGTCAGTGAATTGGGAGCCTCTGCTGTCAGCTCAGTGTGGCACAATTACAATGTGGCTTCTATGTAGGAATTTAACTTTCACTCTTCATTCTAATTTTTTTGCTTTCAGAATCTGATTCCTTCTTTTTTTTCATTTTTATTGTGAATTGAGTGATAGTTTGCATGGGGGAACAATCTCCTCCGTGCATCATAATTCGACAGTATTTGCTTCTATTCCCTCTGGTTTTTTCAGGGGATATACACAAAAACACTCCTGAATATATAAGCATTTAAACAACCAAAGGGCACATTCTGCAAGGCTGCCTCCTGGTCGCACTCAGCCTTTCTCCCTCTCTCCATGTCCCCATCTCTGGTGTTGCTGCTTCTCTGGATAGGGTCCCACATTCCACTCATGTTCTCCACCCTTGATGGTCCTAGGGTCCTCTCTTCCTGGACTGTGGATTAAGTACTCCCCCACTTTTTGTTACTCCTTCCATTCTGATCCACTAAGAATTCTGTTACGTTATTCATGTACCTTTTTGTAAGAAAAATCTTTTACATAGATGGTTTTTAAATTTTGGTCCTAATATGTCATTCTGAAAACAGAAACTGAAAGTATTTTAACAGTTCTTCAGACTTTGTGAAGTTTATATAGCCTAAATTTGAGGACAATAAGCCTCAAAGTAGAACAGTATCTCTGTTCTGCCATACCCTCTCACTGATAATACCAATTCATACCACACTTGGCTCCATTAATGAACGCTGCTCATTGGTTTTCATAATGTGCCCTACTTACATTGTGGTTTGTGCTTAACAAAATTTTCACATTAACTCTGTTAAGTACTGTACAAGCAATTAAATCATGGGTCAGAGAAGTCATGTGACATAAAGGTTCATTTTATGTGGTAACTTGACTAGACTGTGATTTCCAGTGGGTTGGCGAAACACTAGTCTAGTTGCTGTCCTGCAATGTAATCAGCTTCCATAATGTTATCTTATGTCATCAAACTGGTATTTTAGCAAAAAACTCCCCTGTACTCTTGCTCTATTGCCTGAGCTTTAGGCCCTGCAGGGCTCTTCACCTGACTTACAGATCTTGAACTTGCCTGCATCGACTTCTGCATAAGCCAACTACTTAAATCTCGCTCCATCATCCATACACCCTCTGCATCTCTTCTCTAACCCAGTCAGCTTCTTTCTCTCTCCCTCCTCTCTCTGCAAAGAGGCTTGAGAAAAACTTCTTGAAGGCCCCTTGTACCTACACCCTTATGTCCCACATTTCTGGTTTCCCCCTCCTCTTCTCTCTACAAGCAGGCTTACAAAGGTTCTTGGAAACATGGCACTGGAGTATTTCTACACATGTTCTGAAGCCCTTTTGTGTGTATGAGCAAGTTTGGGGCTAGGTCAGCTCTCTCTCCTGCACTTCCTGGTAGTGTAGTGGATAAAGAACCAGGTTGCTAATCAGAGGGTCAGAGGCTAAATCAAACCCAGCAGCTACTCCCTGGGGCTATGGGAGGAGGAAGCTGTGACAGTCTGCTTCCATACAGATGACAGCCTCTGTCCTATAGGGTCACTATGAGTTAACTTCCATACAGATGACAGCCTCTGTCCTATAGGGTCACTATGAGTTAACTGGACAGCAAGTGGTTTGGTTTTTGAATTCCTTTCTCCTGCGGGTGACTCAATCTCTCCACCCCCTCCATCTCACTTGGCTCCAGCTACATCTCCCTCTCTCTGCCCTCTATGTGCCTCTCAATCCCTGTTTATATAGCTGGTTGAAAGCTCAAACAACACAATGAAACTGTAACCTACCAGTCTGGTATGCAGCTTCTGCGGCCATCTCTGAAAGACCCACTGCGGTCATCCATGTTGTTTCCAACTTTAAGTATTCTTGTTGCTTTGAAGTCATCTGTAAATTAAGCAAAGTACTTCAGACAAGATGAAAAGATTTAAAAGGATTTATTCAAAACTGTATTTAGAGGACAGTTACTATTTAGTTATAACTTAATAATGTGGGAGGAAGACTAATAAAGAAATGTCTAATAGACTTTTGCTTACCTCAACCCTGGCTCCTATGATCACTTGCCATACTTCATCTTCCTCCTGTGAATTCATTTTCCCAAGTAAATTTGTGTATTGTCGGTACAGTGAAATTAAGGTATAAACAGCCTACAAATGCAGAATAACACAAATCTGAATCAATAAGAAAGGTTCATTAGAATTCGTGCCACATTATTATTCCAGGACATTAGCATCTCTACTTCTGTGTTTTTAAAGCTTGTCAGCAAGTCAGACATAGAAAGAGAACGTAATGCAGAGGGAAAACTCAAGAAGCAGAGAGTAAAGTGATTGGAAAATGTAAAATGTATAAGCGCGATTTTTAAAATGTAAAATGTATAAGCGCGATTTTTAAAAAAGTGGTCATTTTTATTAACCATATATGCTCTTTTCCCCTTAGGTCAGATTGGTGATTCTCAAACTGTCCTCACAAAGAACGCTATGGCTGGTGGCTGAATTGGCTGGGCACTCCTGCTTTCTGTACTGTTGTTAAGTCCTGTCGAGTCAGTTTCCATTCACAATCCCAGTGGCAAAGTTTCCGAGGCTGGAAATCTTTACCGGAGCAGAAAGTCTCATCTTTTTCCTGATGAGTGGCTGGTGGGCTTGAACTACTGACTTTCTGGTTTGCAGTCCAGAGGTTATCCTATAAAGCCAGTGTGCTTTATATATTGGGCTGCCATATATATTCATTTCCCCCAAAATAAGGGTTTCTAGAGAAAAAATGAAAAGAGCTGAAAAACTAGTGGTTTACACACTGGGGCTCACTGAGCTTTGTTAAAGGATCAGAGTAAATCCTTTAGGCTTTGTAGGCCCTATAGACTCTGTCACAATTACTCAACTCTGGAGCTGTAGCACCAAACCAGAAATGAAAATTGTTGTTGTTAGGTGCCACTGAATCGACACTGACTCATAGTGACCCTATGCACAACACTGCCTGATCCTGGGCCAGCTTCACTATTGTTGCTACATTTGAGCACACTGATGCTGCCACTGTGCCAATCCATCTCGTTGGGGGGTCTTCCTCTTTTCCTGTGACCCTCCACTTTACTAAATATGACATCCTTCTCCAGTGACTGGTCACTCCTGACAATATGTCCTAGGTATGAGAGACCAAGTTTGGCTTCCAAGGAACACTCTGGCTGTACTTCTTCCAACACAGATCTGTTGGTTCTTTTGGCACCCCTTGGCACTTACAATATTTTCCTCCAACACCATAACTCAAATGCATCAAAATAGGGAACACACAAACAAGTAAGCTGAACTATGTTTGCTAAATTCTGGCTGAGATGAAACAAGCACACACTTACCTTTGTGTACTCAGTGATTGCTTCAATCAGTGCATATGTGGTCTGCGATAGAAATGTGGAGGTGCTGTCTGTCACCAGAGACACTGCCCTCCTCATTAATGCCTCGTTACTAAGAGAATGTGGCTCTGGTTTCTGCAAGACACAAACATGGCCATTCAACTTCGAATCTGAAGCTCAAGCTGAGAACAGGTTGCCACAGACAGTCAAATAAATGACGTACTTGTTATCTGGTAGCATTTTAAACTGCAGTTAAGCTCTACTTCTTTTGGTTAGCTTTTATTTTTAAGGCTTTATTTTGGCTGTTTAGTATAACATATTAATACAAGACATGGAAATAATTCTAAACTATACTGTCAACCTATTTTCATTCTTTACTCTGGATTAATTTATAATAAACTCCATATAAAATCAAAGATTAGTGAGTATGACCTATATAAAGACAAATCAGACACATTCTTGGCCCTCAAAGTTTGTAGAAAGGGAAAAGGCAGTGAGAGGAGGATGACAGGGTTTCACAGAGAATTAGAGAATTAGAAAACTGAACGCAGTACGCCCATACAGCTAGATTTTCCACAAGAGTGCGAAGTTCTTGCAGTGGGGGAAAGGACAGTCTCGTTAACAAGTGGCACTGGATTTCTACATGCAAAACAATGAAGCTCACATCATACAGAAAACTGTACTCAAACTGGAGCAGGGCACTAAATGGAAGAACTATAAAATTCTTAGAAGGCAACAGAGAAATAACGCTTTTGGACAACGGACCATTAGATATGCCTATGGCACCAAAAGCACCAGCAACAAAAGGCAAATAAGATAACTGGATTTCATTAAAATAGAAAACTTTGTGAATCAAAGGACTTTATCAACAAAGAGACCATTTGTTGATTGAAAGTTTTGTTGTTGTTAGGTGCCATCAAGTTGGTACCGACCCATAGCGACCTTATGCACAGCAGAACAAAACACTGCCCGATCCTAGGCCAACCTCACTACTGTTGTCACACTTGAGCCCATCGATGCTGCTACTTGGCCAATCCATCTCGTTGGGGGTCTTCCTCTTTTTCTCTGACCCTCCACCTTATCAAACAGATATCCTTCTCCAGTGAATGGTCCCTCCTGACAATATGTCCAAAGTATGAGAGACCAAGTTTGGCCATCCTGGCTTCCAAGGAGCAATCTGGCTGCACTTCTTCCAGAACAGATCTATTGGTTCTTTTGGCAGCCCATGGTACTTTCAATATTCTCCTCCAACACCATCACTCAAAAGCATCAATTCTAATACAATCTTCCTTATTCACCGTCCAGCTTTTGCATGCATATGAGGTTATTGAAAATACCATGACTTGGGTCATGAGAAAGTTTGGGGAAATATTGGATATGAGGGGGTTTCACAAAGTTTGTGGAAAAAGAGAATGAAGCCTCCGTGTATATAAACTTAACAAGACAGATGACCCAAACACACAGATGACCAACTAAAATGAAGAGATACTCATCCCTAATAAGACAAATGAAAATCACAATGAAATTTTACGTCACTCCCACTAGAAAAGCTATGACCACAAAGACAAAACACAACTGTTGACAAGGATGTGCAGAAATTGGACCGCTTGGTCCACTGATCATGAGGTTTTAAAATGGTACAACTAATAATTCAATATAGTTTGGCAGTTTCTGAAAAAGTTAAAAACAGACTTAACATATGAACCAGCAATTCTATTCCTAGATATCAAGAAAATTGTACACTGAGTCTCAAACCAATACTTGTATACCAATACTCACCTACAGCAGAGGCCCTAGGGAGAAAACAAACTACACATCCATCAACACATGAATGAATTAACAAAATGTATTATATACACACAATAGAAAATTGCTCAGCCACACAGAGAGATGAGTCTCGATTCATGCTACAACCTGGATACACCTAGAAAACAATAAGCTGTATGAAGTAAGTCAGCCACAAAAGGGCAGCTACTGATATCCTACTTTTATGAAATATCTAAATATGTAAAACAGTACAGAGACCAAGGAGTCCTGGTGTGGCGCTGTGGGTTAATGTGCCAGACTCCAAAGCGTTTGAACTGCAAGGTCTGTGGTTCAAGCTCACGACTCACTCCTTGGAAACCCTACACAGGTGGCCATGGGTCGGAACTGACTCAACGGCACTTAACAACAATAACCCAGAGACCCAAGTTCATGAGAGGTTACCAGGGCAGGAGGGAAAGGAGAGGGAAGAGCCATTTCTTAGAAAGCACTGAGTCTCTATTAAAGGTGATGGAAAAAACCAGACGTGGATAAAAGCAATGACTGAACAAAAATAATGTCACTAAATTGTACATGTAATACATACTGAGTTAGTAAAAGTTGTTATGTATACTTCTACCATGCAAAAAAAAAGAAGGCTAAGGGGAACTGATCTGGGAATAAAAATCACCTGGCGTGCTCACCATCTGTATATACGTTTATCAAAAGGAGCCGTGGCTGCAGTCTGTATGGGCTACATAAAGTGGGAACACATACGAAAGCCATCAATTCTACGTTGTATGCTGCTTCTTGTTATGTGCCATGGAGTCGGTTCCAACTCATAGTGACCCTGTACAAGGTTTCCAAGGCTGTAATTCTTTATGGGGGCAGAAAGCCTCATCTTTCTCCTGCGGAACAGCTGGTAGTTTCACACTGCTGACCTTGTGGTTCGCAGCCCAATTCGTAACCACTATGCTACCAGAGCTCCTTATGTTGAGTGGTGATAGTTAAGAAAAGTTTTAGAGTTCAGGGTAAAGCTGAGTCCAGAAACAAAACAGGGGGTAGGTGAGAAAAGGTAATTTTGAGTAGAATGAGCAATACACTCACTGTAGTGGGGGGGGGGGGGGGCTTCACTCTGAATTCATCTATATATATTTCTAAAAAAAGATCAATATCCTTTTTTGGATACAAAAAGGAATTAAAAATGGATCAAGAACCTGTATGTGACAAACAGATCATCAAACTCTTCAAAGAAAATAGCCCTATGGCTATGGGACCTAGTTTTTATAAACAATGGATTATTAGATTTGACAACAAAAGCACGAGCAGCTGAAAATAAAACAGGTAAATGAACTTTATAAAAACAAAATACTTTTTGTTCAAAATACTTTATCAATATACACAAACAAAAATAGACAAAACAGATGAGTGGGACATACTAAAAATTAAAAAGTTATGTGCATCAAAAGAGTAAAAAAGGAACCCACAGAATGGGAAAAAATCTTTTGCAATGACACATCAGATAAGAGACTCATTTCTAAAATATACAGAAAACTAAAACACCTCTACAAGAAGACAAATAACCCAATTAAGAAATGGGAACAGGACACGAAGAGACACTTCACCAAGGAGGAGATGTGGGCAGCCAACAAACATATGAAAAAATGTTCACAATCACTAGCCATCAGAGACATGCAAATCAAAACAACAGTATCATCTCACACCAGCAATAACAGCAAAGATGAAAAAAAAAAAAAAGCAGAGGGCAACAAATGCTGGCGAGGATGCAGAAAGGCTAGGACCCTCCTATGTTGTTGGTGGGATTGCAAAATGGTCCAGCCACTCTGGAAAGCAATAAGGCGCTTCTCTTCAGAAGGTTAGAATAGAAATACAGTATGACCCAGCAGTTCCTCTACTTGGTATTTACCCACAAAAAATACACGCCATAACACGAGTAGACATATGCACACCAATGTTCATAGCAGCACTATTTAC